AAAGAGAAGCTCCTGCTGCTCCATCAGCAATCCAGTCAGTATTGCAGGAGTTCTGAAACATCCACACAATCCCAGTGAGATTTTAGAGGTTGAAGGACCCGGGCCAGGCTCAACAAGTGAAGTATTGCAAACTTTCCACCTCCCAAACTGGATTTTACCAGGTGCCCTCACCTTCCTCATGATCTTCCTCCCGTAGAACATCACTTTGTCCCTCTTGCGAAACCTGTACTGAGGCACGTGTGGCTGAAGTTGTTCTGAAACAGAAGCATCACATCAGAAACCACCTTCAGCAGCTGGGAGAGCACCTGAGCACAGCTTGGGGACTTTGCTGCCTCCACAACAGCTCCTGTGGGCAGAGTTTGGAATTGAAACCACCCTGGGATCCCTCATTCCCCAGCTCTGGCCAAGGCACACCAAGGCAGGGCTGCCCTGAGGCTCTGCCTCAGCCCCACAGGACACAGAGGGCTCTCTAAACAGACAGAAGGACTGGGTAGCTTTCATCTCCTGAAGGAAACCTCTCATTCAATCGTTTCTCCTTCCTGTGACAGTGAAATCACAGTAGGGTGGAAATCATCTGCAGAATTCACAACTGATCCCGAGGCTGACACTGCTCATACACCAAGGAAATAAAACCTCCAGGTCCTGCATGTGACAGTTCTGGGTTCACACCTGGAGAAGTTCTCCATCCTTTAAAGCTGTTGTCCTGCAAGAACCACACCTCTACAGCAAACAACTGCTACAGAAAATGACAAAAATACTCAAGATTGATGGAAAATCTGGTTTTAAAACTTACATGGATATCAAATACTTACTGGACTGTCTCACTCTTCTGTACACGACAAACACAACAACTGCTATAAGCAACAGTGCAACTGCAGCTCCAATTGCAATTCCAGTCAGCTGGGAGGGGAATTTAGAGAGAAAAAAGTTAGTAATTTTCAGCTTCAGAAGCTACTCTATACTTTTTGGAAGGCTGAAGAACACTTAGCACAGTGAAATGTCTAAAAGCCAAGCATGTTCATACATATTTAATTTTTAATTCAAACATCACATGTGTGAGAAGTTTAAACTGCATCAGTGACCAGTCCTAAGATCACATACAAAATATTCCATGTTTTTCTTCCCAACGATCTGTGAGCTGATCAGCTCAATGTACAGGAGGTGTATGAGGGCATGGAGGGACAAGACAAGGGGGAATGGCCTTAAGATGAAGGAGGCAGGGCTGGATGGGATTTTGGGAAATCCTTCCCTGGGAGGGTGGGCAGGCCCTGGCACAGGGTGCCCAGAGCAGCTGTGGCTGCCCCTGGATCCCTGGCAGTGCCCAAGGCCAGGTTGGACACTGGGGTTGGAGCAGCCTGGGACAGTGGGAGGTGTCCCTGCCATGGCAGGGGTGGCACTGGATGGGCTTTGAGGTCCCTTCCAACCCAAACCAGCCTGTGATTCTAAATAACAGGAATTAATTCCTGCCTCATGCACAGTGACAGCAAAGACACAAATGCTCAGACTTTGGCAGTCCCTTAGCAGAGCTCCTGGAGCTCAGGAGAAGCTGCTCTGGATGCACTCCCACCCCTCAGCCAGCTGACTGAGCTCCACTTTACCATGGTGGTCTGGATCCTGTCCTCCACAAACTGCAGGATGGGGGTCCCACCTCCGGGCAACACAGCCTGGCATCAAAAGGAAGGTGAAATTAGTTTCCCACAGCTGGAAAAAAGCCCCCCATAAAAAATATATCAACCAACTGGATTGTGTTTTTCTTTGACTTATAACCCACTTTGCAAACAGAAACATTCAGTGGAAAGAGATCAGTAGGGGAGTTTTGTGTTGCTGTCAGTTCAGTGCATTTCTGAACAGTCCTAAACCAGGGTCAAACAGTGAGATGAATACTTTTTATAATCATTCTGTGTTATTCAGAGCAACAAGGATGAGAATGGAATGCAAAGGACTTTATGAGACTGAGAAAAAAGTCATAAACCAGCAGACTAAGTCATCATAAAAAACACATGATGCACATGGGCAGAAGCCCTGAGCTCAGGTGTGCTGTCCTGGGACCTGTGTCCACCAGGGTCACGCAGGAATAACACCTGGCACTTCACATAGTCTCACAAATGCCAACCCAAAACTTCAGAGAAAAGGGGAAAAAGGCAAACAAGTCTCAGGAAGAAGTGAAAACAACGTGAGTACAAAGACAAATACATCTCACTCTAAGTCCTGAATCTTAAAAGCCCTTGAATCAAGCACTACACACAGTTCTGGTCCCATTCCTGCCCGTGGTTCCAGATCTGGGTGACAGCTGAACTCAGCTTTGCCACCAAGAGAAAAATGAAGTCACCAAACTGGTCTCTCTAATGGAATTCATTCCAGTTTTACAGCACAAAGGAAACTCCTGCCAGACCAGTCACCTCACACAGATCCCTGTGCTCACTTTGCCTTCCCAGGTCACTTCAGCACTTTAATGTTTATCTTCCCAACATGAGTCAAACTAACTCTGTCACTATTGTGATCAGACTTCTCATGGGACTTCAGTGAAAAGTCACAAAATTTTGAAAAAAAAAAAAAAGTTGAAGGTGTGTCAGCAACAGGTACAACACCTGGTGACACCAGAGTTCCTGGTGGAAGTCTGTTATGGTCACTTAATGCATTTATTTCCCTTTGACAGTGTCAGGGACACTGGGATATGGGCAGTTCTGCTGCTCCCCAGGCCTATATGATCTCAAATAACACCAAAAATAGTAATTGCCAACTGACACTCTCATTGCTGCTGCAAGGAGAAACAAATCCATGGGAAAAAGAATAAAACACAAACATGCCCAGGTTGGAGCAGTGCAGAAAGGCAACAAGGGAAAGAAGAAATTCAGAACTCCAAGAACCACTGAGAAGTTTTTGCAAAGTTTTCATCAGTGACAACATGATATTTCACTGCTCAAACTCAGGGGGGATCTTTCCCAGCTTGGACAATCCTTGTGGACAAGCAGAGGAAGCAAAGCAGCCAGACTGAGCTGTGCAGACACCTGAGACATGTCAGTGATTGCTGTGACAGCTCCTGGGGCAGGAATGAGGTCACAGCCAAGTCACCAGGGCAGCTCCTGTCTGAGAAGGGCTGTGCTCAGCACCCCAGAGCAAGGACTTCACCTCACCCAGCCCCAAAGAACCTCAGACCCTGGGACCACCCTGCAGGGGCCTCACTGCCTCTGAAAATGGAGCAGTCACCTGCTGAAAGCGTGGATTGGCATAAAGAGCTTCCTGATGTTTCCTTAAGAACTGGAGACTTGACAGCAATCAGCACAAACATGCAGCCTCACACCCATCCAGAGTACAGGCACCCAGCTCTGCTGAGTCCAACAACTCCTCACTGCAGTCCAGGGCAAACACTGACACATTGCCCATTAATGCTGAGGTGAGAAAGGCTTATCAGCCCTGAAAACAAGCACTTAAAATTTGGATCAGCCCAAAACACAAGGCTTCCTCATAGCTCAGAGGCACTCATGCCTTGTTTTGACTACGGAACCTGGATTTTTACAAAACATTGTTGACTGTGTACAAGTACACTGTGTGTGTTTTTTCGTTCTGAGAACTATTTCCTCTCATGGGGTTTGTTTTTCACGACTAGGGAAAGCACTCTGTGCCTTTTTGCTCTGTGAGTTTCACATCTGTGATTAAAAACAAATGCAAGAAGTGCAGTCCACCAGAATTCTGGAGTTCCTCCTTCTACAGGCTAAAAATTAAAGTATTTAAATCATAGCATTATTGGAACAGTTTAGAACACGAAGCAGAGCACGAACGGTTTGCAAGAAATAAAAAACACACACACAATAAAACGGGACCAATCCTTAAAAGTTTGAAAGGATAAAACTCCCAGCAGGAAAGGCTCTTTCAAAGTAAAAGCACCTAAAGGCATTGTCTCAATGCTATCAAATGAGGTACAGCTGCTTTCAGCTTCTGGAAACACTCACAGTAAAAGAAACAAACCCAAAAATACCTGCAAAGCATTTTGTACCTCAAGGCTGGTGCTGTTGTCCCCTTCATCCATGTCTGGAGGTGCGGCAGGAGCAAAGACAAAAACAAAGAGGAGACTGAGTTAAGAGATGACAACAGCTTCTGATCCAAACTCTTGAACAACACAAGGGGAACAATAACTTTTTAACTTTGTCATCCCTTCGTGTCCGTGCTGAGCAACGAAACCCAGCAGAGAAGTGCTGGGGACGGGACTTCTCCTGAAGAAACTTTAGCCACGGGAATTTAAACAAAACTCCCCGGAAGGCTCTACACGGTGTCACAGCCAGACCCATCCCTGCTCCCGGAGAAAGCAAACCCCGGAACGGCCCCGAGGGACGGGCACGGCACCGGGGACGGGACGGGCACTGCCCGGGCAGAGAGCGGGCACCGACCGCTGGGCACCCTCCTGGTCACCCTCAACCAGAGCCGGGTCACCCTCCCGGCCAGCCCCGGGTGCTCTGCCCGGCCCCGTTTCGCCAGGTTACAGCTCAGGACACGGCACCGAACAAGCAAACAACAATCTCCTCCTCCCGCCGGGCCTGAGGCACCGGCACCGGCCGGGGGCACCGCGCGGCTGCACAAGCCCACCAGGCCCGCGTCCCGCCGCCGCGCTCCAGCGATCCCCGGCACTCTCTCACCTGCACCTGCTCCTGCTTCTGCCCCCGCCATCACCCCGGTACCGGTGCCGGCCCCGGCCCCTGTCCCGCCCGGGCGCTCGCGGGTCCCCGGGCCGGGGGCGAAGGGCGCCAAGCGCAGACCCCGCCCGCCTCCGCCAGGGGGCGCGGCCGCGCCGGGCCCCGCCCAGGCCGCGGGCCGCTCGCTGCTGATTGGCGGGAAAAGCCCCCCTAGAATCGTTGGGCGCGCGTGCCGCGCGGGGCCAGCATCGGCCCTGCGGATTGGCTGGCGCGGCCCGGCCAATGGGAGCGGGCGTTGTTGGGGTGTGCGGCGGTGGGAGCGCGCCGGGGCTGCGCCGGGCCGTGAGGGGGACGCGGTTCCGGGAGCCCTCGGTGCTCGCAGGGACCGGCTCCTCTTCTGCTGAGCTCCCCGGCTGCCCTAAGGACAAACCCGGCTTGCTGAGCACCCAGTGTCCACAAGGCCTGGCTCCGGCCCCGCTGAGCCTTCGGTGCCCAGCATGGGGCTGCTGACCCAGCTCGTCCGCGGGCTAGTGCGCGGCGCTGACCGCATGTCGCCGTTCACCAGCAAGCGCGGCCCCCGGAGCCACAACAAGGGCCGCGGTGCCAAGAAGCTGGGCGTGCTCACCCGCAACAAGAAGTTCCTTCTCGTCAAGGAGATGGTGCCCGAGTTCGTCGTGCCCGACCTGACGGGCTTCAAGCTGCGGCCCTACGTGTCGTACCGCGCCCCTGAGGGCTCCGAGCAGCCCGTGACGGCCAAGCAGCTCTTCGACCAGCTGGTAGCTCCGCGCATCGAGAAGGACGTGAAGGACGGCACGTTCGACCCCAACAACCTGGAGAAGTACGGCTTCGAGCCCACGCAGGAGGGCAAGCTCTTCCAGCTCTTCCCCAAGAACTACGTGCGGTAGGGAGTGGGCAGTGATATCGGCGGCCAACACGGGACAGCTCTGGCACTGAACATTAAAGCAAATCTTTCTACCTTGTTCTTCTGTGATACCTGATTTAAATCCTGGGGGAAATCTGCGGTTTGATTTTCCATCCATGACTGGTAATTCCTCTGGGAGACAGTTGTGCCTGGTGAGCAGAGCCCTCCCTGGGAGTTTTGAGGGTGAGGGGTCCGTGACATTTCTGAATACAAAGTACTGCAAAGTTTAAGAATTAAACTTTAAAAATGAAATTAAGACTGAAAAGTTTTGCTTTTGGAGAAAGGAAGCAAGTTTAGTGGATGGTCTGTGAGCACTTTCTGTAATAAGGGCTGACAGATGAGTCCTTATGGTGGTTGTTAAAACCCCCGTTTTCGGGGCTGGGCAGGGCTGTGACGGAGTGGCGGTGCTGCAGCCCCAAATCACAGAAGGACAAGTTGTGATCAGGGACCAGCCACAGTGGGGATGGGGAAGGCACAGCTTTTCTAACTGAGCTCTGCATTTTTCACCTCCTGTGAAACTAATCAGAACAAGTTCACACAAGTGGCTGTTTCCTGCCTTGGGTGCTGCTGCTGTTGGCAGAGGTGGCCCTTTAGCCCTTACCCTGTGAGACTTGCTGCCCAGCCAGGGCGCTTGGCAGGTGTCTGGAGGGAGATGCAAGGCTGGAGAGCAGGAGATCCTGTGCCCATTGATGCCAATTTGCCACAGCATTTGCCTCACACCCCATGTGAAGGCAGATAATAAATAACAGGGTCTCCTCGTTTCTCTGAGCCTAAAGCCGGCTGGTCCCAGTCGGTGACACCGCTCCAGCTTCGTTGCCCTCGGGCTGTTTCCTCTGCTCTCACAGGGCAATAAAAGGCATTACAACCTTTAAAACAGACTCCTCGGCAGATACAGGGACACACCCTTGGTTTTCCCAGGAAACTGGATTGTCCACTCTGGCTCCCAAAGAACATTCACCCCTTGGAGCCTGAGCCAGGCCAGGCCAAGGCAGAAGGTTTCATGAGGACTGTCAAGTTACTTGATTTTTAAAACTCAACCAAAAAAAAAAATAAATCACTTATATTGGTTTTATTTTAGAAACATCCAAAAATAGCATGTTTTTTCTTTAGCAAAAGCTCTTGGTTTCATTACTAATATGAATCTTCATGTAACAGTGCTCCAGAATTGTTTGCTAAAATACACATTCACCCTTAAGAAGGGGGTTTCAAAGCAGCAGAGTTCTCATCTGCTGCACCTCATTTAGTTGCAGCACTGTTACACAGAGACCTGTTGCTGGTGTTTCTTTCCCTCCACACAACTCATTCTTTAGGACCCTCAAAGACAAACCATGCAAGCTAAAAGTTACTGATCTAGTTTAAGCTGGTTTTTTGTTCCTAGGAATACAGAAAATGTTCCAGAAAGGATGTTTTGCTGATTTTTCACAGTGAAAAAAAGAGAGCTAATGGAGCAACCATGAGAAATCCTGCAGTCATTCCTGGAGGTAGTTAGGGCAATGCTGTTAAGATTTTGGTTTCTGTACTTTAAACTTAAAAATATGTCAAGAAACACCACTTCTTGAAGGTTTTGATCTTAAAGCTGTTCACCTTTTTAAAAACTGAACTTGACTTTGGAGCTATACATGGCTCTGTGGAGAGCAGAAAGCATGAGCTGGGCACTGAGAGGCCATGGGGGGTGGTTGAGTGGCACTAAACCATGGTGGGATCACTACAGGATTTACCTGAACCAGGGTGTGCTCAGCTGGCAATGATGGAGTCTGCAGTCAGGTGATGAGTATGATGGAGAAGCACCAGGATCCTCACGAAGAGGATCCCACAGCACTTCCCATCCCACCAGGCAGTCTGCACTTCCTTCTGAACCAGAACTTCTGTTAAACTTCACTGTGAGCACATTGCACTGTGTCCGGCCTGTCTGAGCTCTCCAGGGACACTCATCACACAGCCAAGCCTCTGCTCAGGGACTTTTCTGAGACATTCAGGAAACCTTCTGCTCACTTACTGGGTCTGCACAGCAGCACAGCCAAGTCTGGTTTGTGAGGGAAGGAGGAGAACGGGCTTAACAGATCAAAATACAAACCAGCCTTGAAAGGATTCAGATCTGAGGTACAAAGCAGCAGCCTGTGAGAGGAGGGCTGTTCCACTTGGAACTAGGACATTAAGGAAAAAACTAAATAAACCTGTCTGGGCATGACCACAGGCCTCTAAGCAAAGGCTTCTCTCGGTGCTGAAAATAAAACACCAGGAATTCCATCAGTGTTGGGCTTGAAGGATTCTCAAGCTCAGCAGTAAGATAGGAAAGCCCAGCAGAAGTTAGGGCATTAAGTTCAGCTGTCACTCTCAGTTCAGGAGTTTTCCTCCCTCTTCCCTTGGGACTGGTCAATGCAAACTTTCAGCTGTTCTTTCTGATGGAGATCTAGGACTTGGCACATCTGGAGGGGTCACCAGGCTCATCTCCCACTTCCAGACATGGAGGATATTGTCATAGAAAGAACAAGTGGCTACAATGCTAATTTCTTTGGGACTGTCTGGAGACCTGGCTGAGTCACTGCCTCTGTCCAGGCTCATTCCATTGGATCTCCTGGCTCCTGAGTCAGAGCCACTGGCTGACCCCAGATCTGCCCCTTGGGCAGCCAAATCTGAATTTCCCTTTAAATCAGAGCCCCTGACCAGTCCAGGATCCCCAGCCAGCTTTGGCCCTGCCCCTGCTGTGAGTGCCACAGCAGGGCTTTCACTCTCCTCATCCAGGATTACATCAAAAGTAGCTGTAGGAGACTCATAAATTATCTTCAGGTTCTGGACCTGCATATTCAGCCTCTCATCTCCTTGCCCTGCTGCTCCCACAATCTCCTCCAACGGCTGGCACACAGCAGCGAGGTCCTGGCTTGCAGGCAGAGAATCCCTTGGACACAGCCTTGACCAGTCAGCCCCATAGGCCAAGGAATTGTGCAGGACATAGGAGGACAGGATGATACATTCCTCTGTGTTTTCCGCTTTAAAAAAAAAAAAAAAGAAATTACTTAGAGATCAAGGTGTGGGTTGTGGCAGAGTGATCAGCAGCCATTCCAGTATTGGCTGTGTCTCACAGGAAGAATTCTCTGGTTATTGCCTTCTTCACCACAGAGTGAAGCATTCCAGGAAGAATGAGGTACTGACCATTTTTCAGCCACCTCTCAATGGCCTTGATTCTTGCTGGGTCAGTAGCAGAGGAGAAGAGGGTTTAACATGCATGAGGTTTACGAGTATCATTATTCTAACTGCCTACAAAGGCTCAAGACAGACAGGACTGATCACACCACAACCTTCACTGAGCCATGAACACACCCGAGGGATTGCCAGGTCCTGGTTATTAATACACTGCAGATGTTCTTCCTGTCAGCTTTCAGCATTTCACTCTGACAGTAACTGGACATCAAGTTCCTTCCTTCCCCACACAGGAGAAATGCCATCCTCATTTCCTAAGCTGTGGATCTGCCCAAGGTCTGGAGAAGCCAGGAAGCCAACTATCCTCTGTCAGACTGCATTTGTAATGTGAATGTAAATGGTTTTTCCACCATGGAAGTACTTTGTGATTCACATGAAGGGCTTATTCATGTTATTCTGGATTAACCAGGCTGCAAAGCATTTCCTTCCTGAGGCAGTAACTGATTCCCCAGCAGGTCAGTGACTCCTGCTGACAGGAAAGCAGCACCTGGCAGTCAGAAGCACCTCTCTGAACCATCACAAGGAACACAGACCCAGAATGGTTGTGCCCTCACACCAAACACAAAGGCTTTCCTCCCGTGAAAAGAAGTTACGAGAGATTTACACACAGACAGTGACAGGGACTTGGCTCAGCCAAGAAGGCAGTAGAGTGCACAGATGTGGAAAAGCTGGAGGCTACATCAAAATAGAACTGAACTCTGGCTATTAACACCATCTCAATCCTTCCAGCAAGAGCTGGAGCTCGCCATGAACCTGGAGAGCAGCAGAGCAGCTCCAGAGCACCCCTGTCCCTGGACACTCACCCAGGCTTCCACGGCAGTCGAGGATCTTGAAGCCACTCTGCATGCAGGCTGCCAAAAGCACGAAATCACACGTGGGGTGCCACTTCAGCCTCCACACCCCACCTTCCACGTGGGTGTCAGCCAGAGGCTGCCTCATGTTCCTGGTGTCCCACAGCAGCACGTGCTCGTCGTAGCTGGGGACACAGCACAAACAGGCAGAAAAGCAGCACAGCCGAGTCAGGGCACAGAAGAAAAGTAGGGAAGACCACGTGCTCTGCACCAGAAGAGGCAGCAGCACATTCAGGTAACAGAGGAGGTTGGTTGGTCACAACAGGGGAGAGCAGCTGGAAGGGACTCACCTGCCTGTAGCCAGGAGATTCTCCCGGTGGGGACTGCACTGGATGCTGCACACACCCATGGAATGTCTGCAGAGGCAAGAGACAGCAATTCAAGAAGGGCTTCTTCCTTGAATTTCCAGGATTCTGAGTCCAAATTATTTCATCAAAGTGTCTCAGGAGAGGTAAGCTCAAAATTTCAGTCCAGTGACCCACCCAAGCAGAGTTCCATATACACAGTCCAACAGCCTTCCCAGGGACAAAACTTCAACTCACACCAGCTCTCAGCACAAGTATTTTATAGTAATATTTACCCCATAAACTGCTGCTCAAAAGGTCTAAGAATTTCAGCAGAACAACTCTGTTCCCAGGAGACTTTACTCCCAGAATTAGTATTTCCATAGCAATAGTCCCCAGTGTAATTTAAGTTTACCTAAAGAATTCCACTGGAGAGCTGTGTATATTGTTTTAACCATTTTAAAAAATAAGATAAAAAAGAGATCACTTCAAATAAACTAAACACTGGAGAACAAAATATTTTCTAAAAAGCATTCCATAATAATATATCCAAATTTAACACACGCAAAAATTGCCAAAATAAAAGTGCAAAACAGGATCCATTTTTAGAAAGAAACTACCACCCTCTTCACATGTGGAAATCCACACTTGGTTAATTGTGTTAAAGGACACAGAGAAGAAAGTTTCTTCAACCTGAAGTTGTTCTGATGAAAAAAAACTAAGAGATGCCTCCATTTCCCAAGGGAAGCACAACCAGGATCCGCTATCACTGCACATCTCCCGTTCAGTGGCTTAGGAAGGGGCAGGGCAGCACCGGGTGTTCCCTCCCCACTGCTGGAGGGCTGGGCGTGGACAGGTCTCACTCACCTCCTGCTGGTGAAGACTGGAGCCTCCGAACTGCACCTGGTGTCCCAG